AAGAGAAGAAATCGATTAAGTGATTTTGAAGAGATGGCATTCTATGATCAAAATTTTTGCTGTGTTCTTTAAATAGCACAGAAATTCCTATAACTGGCTAAAGTCATATTTGCAACCACATCTGTCAAGTTATGTACTTTAATACAATGTGATTTGAACATTAGTTAAAGCCCATCTATATCATCAGGAAAACCCATGCCATAGGGGGCTATGCTTAAAAGAGAAACTGTGTTAAACTGTTTTCTCTCAAGTCCAAATTCTTGAAATGGACATTTGAACTGCTACTAGTTTTTTGTGAAATGGGACTTCTTTGGAAACATGGTCATTTTCTGTGGTGTTTCTTTATGTATTGCAAATTTGTTATTTTAAGAAACAGTTACACTAGCTGGCATCAGGTTGCTAAGATAGGAGGCCCAAGCTCCAGAGCTCTGATGTGAGTGACTTCCTGCTTGGGCTGGCAGGTGCCTGGGCCCTTCCTGTGCGGTTTACCAGCAATTCCAAAGCAGCCAGGCATCTCCTGCCCGTGTCCACCCACCCCGCCCCTCCTTTGCTCTCTAGCTGTTTCCACAGCCAGGCTTTGCAGGGTTTCCTGAGCTCTTTCCCACGTGACACAGTTTTGAATAAATTCTTAAAGTTGATAAATTGGGCCAAAGGAAAACTAGAAAAAGAAAAGAGAGAGACAGAGACAGAGACACAAAGAGAGAGAAATGAGCAAGATTCCTGCACAGCCCTGCTTCTACGGTTTCTGTGTGATTTTTTTTCTTCTCTTGTTTTGAATCTGATATATTTTCAGAAAGAATGCAGCGGGGGAGGGCAGGGAAGGGAGGGAATGGCTCCCCCTCAAAAAAAAAAAACATTCACACCAGTGAAGCAGCAAGCACACACCAGTATCTTCATTCCATTTGCAAGTTCTGACCAGGGTGTTTTCCCCCAAGTAGCTCGATCACTTAAAACATTTCAGGAGTGGGAGAACGGATTACCTCATACACACCTACTGGATGTGAGCGAGAGTGATCTCCGTGCTGGCAAATGAAGGCATGCTCCAGAGCTCATAATGCTAGATGCAGTCGCCTTTGAGAAAGTTCTCTAGCTGTTTGCTTTGCATACATTATGCTCAGTGTCCTATGATTGCCACCTTCACCTTTTATCTTAATGGCCGTTGCTTTTTCCCCTCCTGTTTCTGTAGCACTTTCTTATGCGAGGAGCTAAACAGTGATTAAAGAAGCAGGATGAAAAGATGGCACAATCAGTGCTGGTGCCGCCAGGACCTGACAGCTTCCGCTTCTTTACCAGGGAATCCCTTGCTGCTATTGAACAACGCATTGCAGAAGAGAAAGCCAAGAGACCCAAGCAGGAACGCAAGGATGAAGACGATGAAAATGGCCCAAAGCCAAATAGTGACTTGGAAGCAGGAAAATCCCTTCCTTTTATTTATGGAGACGTTCCTCCAGAGATGGTGTCAGAGCCCCTGGAGGACCTGGACCCCTACTATATCAATAAGAAAGTGAGTGTTTAGTTCAGTTGCTTTCATTTTCCCCGTTTCCTTAAAGGCGGTGAAGAATGTACCTCTTTCCGTCTCTTAAGGTCTCTCTAGGATTCTGGGTGGGCCTCATCAAGCAATGGAACAACTATTCTATAAGTGTTTTTGAAAGCACCCATTTGAGCCTGCGCTTTTGGGGGACAGGCAGATACTGAAGAAGCCTCCCGCAAGAGGGCATGCGAGGAAGACAGAGCCAATTTATCTTTCTGAATACTAATTATATCATAAATCGAGCGCAGATTCACCTGCTGCATTGTGATGAAGTGAGAAGTGGAAAGTGAGAGCATAGGGATTTTATATTTCTAAAGCGATGTCTAAGATGCCCCTGGAACTTGCTATAAGGCTTAGTGTCCCTAGCAGGCTTAATTATGCCTTCACACCACAGACTGTCACTTTCCTATGCCCCTCCCCCAGAAGAAATAATACCAGAGCACATGTTAGTGCAAAAAAAAAAAAAAAAAACAAAAAAACAAAAAACCTCTAACAAAGACCATATTTGGAAAACCCCAAAGTTTTCACGAGAAAATCACCTAAATGAAGAAGTTACTGAAGCCTCGCTCTTATGTTTTGTGAGAACTATAGATATAGCTGAAAATAAGAGTAAAGTACTTGGCAGAGATGCCAAGAACTCCTGCAGTACTAACCACAAAGTTGTCTCTGTATTGCTTACCTCCTGAAGTCCCTCACCAAATTTTGAATTTCTTGCAATGCCAAAAAAGAAAAAAAAACTATTGTTCTGCCATGTGTTGGTTATTGCAACACTTGGTATTTTAGAGGGGGGCTTTTACTCTCTTAAAACACCCTTGATGTGTTCTGTAAAACCTGTTTCCCGTGTTCTGTTTTCTTTTTCAGACCTTTATAGTATTGAATAAAGGGAAAGCAATCTCTCGATTCAGTGCCACCTCCGCCCTGTACATCCTAACTCCCTTCAACCCCATTAGAAAATTAGCTATTAAGATTTTGGTACATTCATATCCTTTTGGTAATATGGTCATATGAATGTTATTTTTTCTCTATGACTTAATTATAAAGTTGAGCCTTTTGGCTGTCAGTGTTACTCTAGCTCTTCCATGACAGTAAGCCTGTGGCAAGGGGGGCACTGGGTAAGTAACACACTTCTCTGCCTTCTGAGTAGCTTTCTTCCCTCTGAGTCGCTACATCTTTCTTTTCTGTTTCCTTCCCAATCACTTGCCACCTCTAAGACTCCATTCATTTTAATTAGATGGCCGGGATAACCTTTCATGCCTTCAGGTTTTACAGTGTTATATTGGAACAATTTCATGCATTAATTTTCCTCAATGATTTATCATTTAAAACACAGAGGGACACAAAATGTGTGCTGTGTATTTTGCTTCTTTTTGGTCAGAATTGAGCAAATTTCTCCTGTTATGCTACCGCTTGTAAACGTTGAGTTTGTGAATATTTACAGGTGTGTTTATATGTACACTGGACTTGCTAATGTTTTTCCAGGTTCTTTCCCCAATGGCAGTTGTACTGACTTTGTCCCCAACTCCCTCTTCTGATTGCTTGTTCCATGGTTTAGTTTGGCTTAAATGTGCCAGTCTATGTATATTCAGCTGTCGTACTTATTCTCCTTATTGAAGGACATAATTCCTAGAAGCAGGATAGGGGAGAACTTGATGGATAACAGTGATTTGACTTGGTCGTTGGAGTTGAACCCAGTAGCTGGGGTGAGAGGCTTTATTCTAGGCAAAAGCAGCAGTCTGGCTGAGAGTCAATCCTGGAAAATCCAAAGAAGCAAAGACTTGGAAGCCCAGAGCTGTGCTGCGGAGAGGAACAAACAGGAGCTCATAGACACTTGGAGATGATGAGTTATATATGTCAGGAACCCAGCATAAGTAGAAGAAACTCAAGTATAGCAAAATTAGGAAAAACCTTTCTTTTGTCTCATTGGTTTTTGGTTTTTGAGACTAGGTCTCTCTGTGTAGCTCATTTAGACCAGGCTCACATTTAAACCAGACTGGCCATGAACTCACAAAGATGCACCTGATTCTGCCTCCCGACTGCTGGGATTAAAGGTGTGCACCACCATTCCCAGCTCAAGACAAACTCCTAAAAGTTTTACTACATTCATTCATTTATTCATTCATTCATTCACTCATTCAGTGTGCGTGTGTGTGCGTGTGTGTTTGTGTATACTTGTGTGAACATGTACATGCCATTGCATACATTTCGAAGTCGGAGGGCAACTTGAAGGAGTTGGTCGTCTCTACCATGTGGGTCCTGGAAATTGAACCCATGTTGTCTGGTTTGGTCTTAGTGCTTTACCTAAGTTCACCGATGAGTCTAAAGTTGCTTTCTTATGTATGTATGTGATGTATGTGGTGGTGTGTGTATGAGGTGCCATGGTGCATATATGGAGGTGAGAGGGCAACTTTGTGACATCAGCTCTCTTCTTCCCATTGTATGTTAGTTCCAGGGACCTAATTCAGGTTGCCTGTCTTTCGTGGCAGGTACTCGACTCATGGAAACATTTCACAGGCCCTAACAAGATAAATACTAAGTGAGTGAGAGTCACAGCTTGAAATTTTTTAATATCTTTTTTTTATTTGTACCTCTAGTGGATGTCTTCCCAGTGTTCTACATTGATATCATCAACTCGTTTTCATTTGATCTTTATATTTAAGCTTTTAAATTTTACTGTGCATTAACTTAAGTAAACAAAATTTCCTCACATCTGGCCAAGTAAGAGAACCTAGTTACACACAGAAAAGCTCTTTGAGTTAGCATTAGAAATGAAAAATAAGGTTGGGATCTGTATCTTGATTCCCAAGTTTAAAACTGTATTCTATTATATTTCAAGCATTTAGAATTCTGGAATGCATAAATATTTCTGTAAGTAAGTTATTATATTTTAAATAACTATTTCTCATTTATTTATGTGACCATGATTTATTTATGAAATTATACTCATTCATCTAGTAGACACCAATAGAATATGCAGTAAGGAAAATAGTGACTGAAAAAACAACAGTAAGAAAATTTGACATGAAGCAGGTAGAAAAAGAAGATCTGAATTGAAGAGAAAATTGTGTTCTCCCTCTGATGCCAGAAGTATAAAAGTATGGGTAGACCCTGTACAAATAAAGAGGTAGCATTTTGTTTTGAATGTAAGCAGATTTTATCTTCTACAGAATATTTCATAAAAGCTACCATCCTCATTTTATGAAAGTTCTTGAAAGTTAGGGGTAGGAGCCAACCCCAGTGAAGACAGCCACGAGTAGAAGACACAGGCAATTTTAGAAGTTTGGACAGAAAATCTGGGTGTTGGAGATATGGTTTCTCTTAGGAGCTCTCTGGAGATTCAGATAATACTTGGATTTGCCTTTTATCATAAGGAACATAGTTATAAATAGGCCAGCAGGCTTATAAATTAAAGCAAGTAAATCTATTAAGGTTGTTAAAATGAACTCACATTTCAATTTTAAATTTTATTGACAATCATTTATTTGTGGGTGAGAGATTTGCACATACAAGAAAGCATGGGTGTGGAAGTAAAATGACAGCTAGCCGGAGTCATATCTCTCCTTCCACCATGTAGATGTTGGGGATCAAACTGAGGTCATCAGGTCTGATGGCAAGCTCTTTTACACACTGAGCCATCTGGCTAGCCTCAAGACAAATTCCTGGAACTCCTGGAGTCTTTCAAATGATGCAGATTCATAGACTTCCTTTTTTAAAACAAGGAATTAAGTTAAATAAGTTTACTCTCTAATCTCATGAATTAAAATGTTATATTTCAAATGTACCATCTTGAAGTAGATATATAAGATGAAGAAAGGCAATAGGCTCATAGTAATTGCAGATAAACCCTTCTCACTTTTGGTGATACTGTAAGAACAGAGCAGAGATCCCACTAAGCCAGATGTTTGTGACACTGAAAGTTTCCAGCTAGTTTTTACAATGGCTTTGTGCTTCACTCCACACAACACAAGCTCAAGCATTGGTTTTGTGATTCCCAAAGAAGTGCCTTTGCTGTACGTTAAAATGCTTGGGAATGGTTCCAGAATAGTAGTTGACTATGGTCAAGAGAATCAGAGTGCCATCAAATTTAAAAGTATATTCCAGAAGGGCTGACAGTTTCCAGAGCAACTGCATGTGGGCTATAATATAGTAAGAGAAGCTAAAGATGGCACTAAGTACTTAGTTTGGACCAGAAAAAAAAAACTGGAATTCCTATGGACTGAGCCTGGGACAGCTCTGGGTCCAACAACATATAGACAGCTCAACTGCTTGTTTTTCAGCATCTACATTTGAGACATCTGCTAGATATTAGGGAAGGAACTGAGGAATTAGGTACGTGTGAAAATCTGAAATCCAGAAGGGGTAGGACTAGAGAAGTAACTTTGGGAAATGTTATCATGTGGATGCTATATATAATCATGACACCAGATTAAACCATAAAAACCCTGAGACTCCCCATAACTAACACTGAGCTGTCCATCATGCACAACAGGTAGTAGAATGAAAATTATTGTGTTAGGGATCAGAAGCAAAGACTCCAATCCTAACTCTGAGATTTTTTATTTATTATATGTTGCTGATCACATTATATCTTTTCATCTCAGTTTCTCCAGTTGTAAAAGTGCAGCCATAGTATGTAAATCACAACACTCAATGCATTGTTGGCTCTGGTAATGCACACCTGTAACACAGCTGCTCAGAGGCAGTTGCTGATGGCTCAAAAGTTCAAGGCTATCCTCATCAACAATGGGAGTTCAAGGCCAGCCTGAGCTACATGAGAGCCTGTTGCAAGAAAAACAGAATGTATGACAAATTGGAAATAGCATTTTATATATGAATTGTAAGACCATATCTCAGTTATGTGACATTAATTTAATGAGGTTTTGATTTTCACTTTGTGTTTATTACACATGTTCAAACCTCTATCAGTAAGGATATCTTGTATCCATTGTATATACAGACTTTGACATTGAGATGACTATTGTAAGGCAACCCAAGTAGACCTGACCACATCAAGCACTAATGTGAGTATTAAACAGTGTTCATATAAAATCCTCATAGCATCCCATCAGTTTAAAACAATAAAGAATTGTTGGGATGAAGACAGTACATTAAAGAACAAAGGAGCTGAAGACATTTTAGTATCTTGACCCTATACGAATACACTATATAATCATATAGTGGTGGGACATATAGGGCAGTGGGAGACTGCCAAAATGATCCCAGCTACATTTACAGAATCCATTTTGGTGCAGTGTAGAGCAGACTTATCCTGAAAGACTGTTTCAGAGGAAAGCACAATAATGTGCAAATCTTGTTACATGTATCGTTGGTCTTGATGAGCACTTGAACAACTCGGTAACATAGGAATGGAGAGTAATGGACTGAATCCAGATATAAACAACAAAATTGGAAGTGTTGTTTGGAAGTTAGGTATGGAAGTTTAGGAAGAGAAAAAATCCAAGATATCTCCAAGGCTCCTGGCTAAATCAAGAGAATACAGAGAGTGTAAGGGAGTTGTATTCCACTGTGGCAGAGGGATAGAAAGGTTGCTAGTTCGGTTTTGGAACTCAACATTTTTCAAAAAGTCTGGAAGAGCCAATGGGACGCCTAAATACAGATGTCACATGCACAACTGAGTTTGTGGACCTACAGAGATGTGTCACCTGGAGAGAAGGTTTTGGTACCTGGAAAGACACAGATACCTGCCGCTTGCTGTTGCACTTCGGTAGGAAGCTGATAGCAGGAGACAGGATGTTGGCTTAGATTTCATTTCTTTTCAAAAAGGAAAATGAAAGACTTCAAATGGCACAAAGGCACTGTTGCTCCTGAGGCATGAACAAGCAGGCAGCTGGGGCCTCCTATAAACAAAGAGGAAAAGGATTAATGTAAAGAAGAGGGGGGTCATTATTGTTGGGCTCAGCTGAAATGCAAGTCAAGCAATAACTATATTATAGCTGTCGATTATCTCTTTTCTTTCAGTGAAACAACAGATGTTTTTCATCTTTAGGCAGAATAGCTGGAGGGCTGAAGATATGATAGGTTTGTAAGGACAAGAAAGGTAAACATGTCTTTCAAGAACTTTGGCTGTGAAGTAAAGACATAAATCTGGAAGTTGTGATCAGAGTTGTGGGTTAGAGAGATGCCCCCCAAGATAGGAGAGGCATAAGCAAGTGTGTATTGGTAGGAAGAGGCTAAGGGACCCAAAAGGAAAGAGGATAGAGAGCTAAGATATTCCTGAAGCATTCTGGGATAGGTAGCTGTCCAGAATACTGTTGGAGAGATGGAAATTTCGCCTCTGTAACAGGGGAAAGAGAGCAAGTCCCAACAGAGAGAACTTTGCCAATATGGGGTGGGGAGCAGAACCTGATGTTATCATTATCTCTCTATGAAGTAAGAAATGAGGTCATCAACTCGCAATAGAAAGGGAGGGAAGAAGAGGATTGGAAATTGAAGGACACAGGGAATGTTTGGGATTATCCTTGTGGGGGGTAAAAAGTGCATCCAAGCTGGAACACACAGGACTGTGTTGAGGATCACTGTGGTTAAGTCCCAAGCATTTCAAGTGCTGCCCATTGCCAAGACATCCTCACCGGGCCCAGTCACAGAGGGGCTTCTACGTTCGCACACTAATGGTAAATTATCATATATATATATATATATATATATATATATATATAATTGTTTCCAGCAATAAAGGTAAAGTAGGTGTTTCCTCTTTAAAATCATGTTTTCTAGATTGCACTGCCCTCCACATGGCTGATCACCCATCACTCATTTAGATGCCTTTGAACTAGCTGAGAAATATGAGCCTAAGAACATTATTACTAAAACCATAGATGTCAGCTGTTGCTTTTACTAATGCCTTTTATAGGTGAAAGCTGTCTTTCTAGATTAATATAATACTACACATTGCCTGGCCTTGAGCCTGGCCTTTTTGTTTCATAAAAGGGATGAAATGGTTTATGACTAAAAAAAGAAGCAAGAAGAAATATGAATACCATTATCCCATCTTTGAGATTATTATGATCATGTGTAAGTAAAGAAGTGATGTTTTTATATAACTTAAGTGTGATTTTTGTTAAATGTGAACATCAATCATTTCAATTATTTGACTGTTGACCCTTTTTGGGAGAAACTTTTTTTCTGCTTGTTTTCATCACTCCAAAGAAATGCAAGACCAGTACTGGCTATTTATTCAAGGACAATGAGGGAAACAAATGAGATGATTACTATAATCAAAGTTTTCTCTGTTTTCGGGAAATGAAGAGAACTCACTGAGTATGTGCTCTCTATCAGGTATGAGTTACAGGATATTTAACATTTTTTGCTAGTTTGGTTTTCACAGAAATTCTGTGATATGATTTTTTTCTTACTGTTAAAACCAAGTTGATCAATATTGAAAAAACTCAGTAATCAATTTGATTTAGTTACAAACCAAAAAGATATCAGCATTATCAACAGCCATCTTTTCTTACATTTCAAGATCTGTAGAACAACTATTGTAGGTTGTTCCTTCCATTTAGAAAGGGATTTTGCGTACAACATTCTTCCAGGGTGACCCTTAGAATAAAGTCAATGTATGTCATTATCGTTGAATTCTTTCATCAAATGTTTACCATCCTGGTTTATTTATAGAGTGAACTTGCAATTCTATTGATTGTTAATTATATCATTAAGAAAATTTACAATGATACACTTTTCACTAGTCAACTAATTTCCTTGCATTTTTCTCTTCTTAATTATTGTTTCATACTAGTCTAAATATAGTTGATGAGGTTTTTTTAAAATATGTTTTACACATGGAGTTGAAGTATGGGAATGAAGTAAAGTTGATGATAAAATAACATGTAGTATAATATAAGCATGCAGGCTTTAGAATTGATGGGGGTGAAGACTGGGGCATGCGTGAAAATGGTGTTCTCCTACTGACTTCGTTTTCCTTGACTGTATATTTCTACTTTATTCAATGTGCTCATTATGTGCACAATTCTTACCAACTGTGTATTTATGACCATGAGTAATCCTCCAGATTGGACCAAGAATGTGGAGTAAGTATAAAGTTCTTGTTTCAAATTATTCACTTAAGGAGTTCAAGACACTTTGAGTTTCCTTACTACATTTTTCTAGTCATGCTAACTCAGATGATTCAAATTCATGCCCGCCACCAACTTCCTCTGGGAAAGTGGTTCTCAACCTTCCTAAAACTGTAATCCTTTAATACAGTCCCACAGGTTTTGGTGACCCCCAAATTATTTTTATTGCTACTTTATAACTGTAGTTTTGCTACTGTTGTGAATCATAACTTAAGTATCTGATATGCAGGCTATCTGATATATGACCCTGGCAAAAGGGTCATTTGACACCTCCCCAAAGGAGTCACAACCCACAGGTTGAGAACTGTTGCTCTAGGATAAAGTGTTCAATGGCTCAAATAGCTGCATTGATCTGCCTGTGGCTATTTGTGGATCTTCATTTTCCTCTGGAATTTTACACACTGGAGATTGCTGATATCTGTTACTTTTCTTATTTAGTGATTAATATCTATCTGCTTAAACCATATTGAAAGTCAGTCAGTGTAGTTCAGATACTATCATCATACAGAGTGGTGCTTTTTACATCCTTTACACTGAGTAATAAGGAATGCAAAGTATTCATTTGTTTACAGTCAATGAGAACATTATTTGGAACTTAATGCTACTTTTTTTGACTTAAGCCTCACCTAAGCACTTTATCAGAAACCAACATGGAACCTCTATTCATGTGTATCATCTAAGTCATCTTTAGGATCTGTACAATCAGGGCATAGGTGTACATCTGAATGGTGGACCCCTGCTTTCAAGTCTGGCACCAAACCATTCTTTAAAAATGAAATATACACATGGAAACCACCCACAAGATCTTTAACATGAACTCGGCTGTTTTTCTCAGGTACACTTTTACAGGAATTTATACTTTTGAATCACTTATTAAAATACTCGCAAGGGGCTTTTGTCTAGAAGACTTCACATTTCTACGGGATCCATGGAATTGGTTGGATTTCACCGTCATTACTTTTGCGTGAGTATTTTTATAATGTTTTCTATCATGGTAGAGTAAATGCAATTGGAGCCTGTACCATAGTTCTTGGTTGTTGGCTTCCTTCGAGACATAAAGCATTCAATAAGAATAAAGCTATTGTGTGAATTTAGAATAATTTTTCCAGTCAAATTATTCAGTTTGGAGAAATCAGGAATGGTCCTAATAAATTATATGGCTTTAGTGTCAATTAGCTGTAAACTAGTAATAGTTCCCAAATAACAGCTCATAGTCGATGACAATGCCATTCTCCTCTTAAATGGGAAATCTGATAACAACACTCACTGAATTTGAAATGGTCTTGATTCAAGACCAACATAGACTTAGATTTCCCAAAATTCTGAATAACTCTGATTTAATCCTACAGGTATGTAACAGAATTTGTAAACCTAGGCAATGTTTCAGCTCTTCGAACTTTCAGAGTCTTGAGAGCTTTGAAAACTATTTCTGTAATTCCAGGTAAGAAGAAACTGGTATAAGGTGGTAGGCTCCTTATATCTCCAACTTTTCTTGTGTGTTATTGTGTTTGTGTGTGAACTCCCTATTACAGATATGTGACAGAGTTTGTGGACTTGGGCAATGTCTCAGCGTTGAGAACGTTCAGAGTTCTCCGAGCATTGAAAACAATTTCAGTCATTCCAGGTGAGAGCTAGGTTAAACACCGAGGCTGACTTTAGCTACATTGGTGCTCTGCTCATGGCTTGTCAGCAAAAGCCTGGTTTGCTTGCTGCATACTGCAAGATAATGACCAAAAGCAGGAACTGACCCATCTTAGCTTGGATGGGTTTGACTGTTTGCTTTTGAATGGTTGCTTTCTCTTGGTTTGTTCTAAATCAGCCTTTGAGTTTAACGAGTTGAAAAAGTTTTGCATGAGGCTCTTACAGTCACAGGCTACCTGGTTTGCATCATACAGCATCAAGCTTTCCGCATAGAAGCTGAAGTGTGAAACATGCAGGCCAAGGCAAATTTGGATCAATTAGCTCTAAAACTGGCAATCTCTTTAACTGGATTTAGTGGGAAAGCAAGACAGAGCATGGGCACTGCATGGGCTCAGCTTGCAGATGTCTTCCTGATTTTGGCCCATTCTCAAGTTCTCAACGTTCAGACAAATCTATACTCTTGTAATTCAGTGGCTTCAAGATTTCTCACTACTCCTCTACTCATGCACATTTTTTCTCAAAAGCCAATATGGGGTTAGAGAGTAAGACATCTGCAAATAAAAGCGAACTATTTACATAAGGTTGATCGTCAAGCATGAATAACACAATCATATCTTTTGCTGTAAGGAGTGTGTGAAAACACATTTGGTTCATTTCCATTTGGTTTTCTAAAGAACATGTAAGTTTGGCTTTCATTCATTTCCACCAGCTAGCAGGCTTGTCATGAGATTTTTATTCAGCCACAAACATTAAACTAATATTGTTGGCATTCTGCATGAGATTTATATTTTTCAGGACTAGCTCATGATGTTTTTGTTGGTAAATTCCCATCGAACTGTAAGTGATAATCTCTCCCCTTGGTTTTATTTGTAGGCCTGAAGACCATTGTGGGGGCCCTGATCCAGTCGGTGAAGAAGCTGTCTGATGTCATGATCCTCACAGTGTTCTGTCTCAGTGTCTTTGCACTAATCGGGCTGCAGCTCTTCATGGGCAACCTGAGGAATAAATGTTTGCAGTGGCCCCCAGACAATTCTACCTTTGAAATAAACATCACTTCCTTCTTTAATAACTCAATGGACTGGAATGGTACCTCCTTCAATAGAACATTGAACATGTTTAACTGGGATGAATATATTGAAGATAAAAGTAAGATATCCTCTTGTAGCCATTAAGTTGCTTGGTTCTTAAAAGATTAAAAATTGTATGTAGTGGAAAGTATCTAAAGTTTGGTATGAACAAAACATCTTAGGCTAATTTGCAGTAAAGTCATACATGTATTAAGAAGACCAAATTTTATCATTCCTTTATCTGAATCTAATGAGTGACATGATGAAAGCAGCCATTTCAAAATGTAGAATCTGTTCCTATACCATATTTGAAAGTGGTCCCACATCATGCTGTATATAATCAAAAGCTTTTGTCATGTAGGCATTTGGGCAGGAGTTTTTCAAACATCTTAATATGATATGAGTTAGATTCTTCCAGTACATTATGCTGCAGTGTGTCATTAGGAAGACCGGAGAGGGGCTGAAGCAATAGCTTAGTAAATAAAGTACTTTCCTACCATGCAGGTAGCCCCGAGTTCCATCCATAGGCCATCATAAGCTGAACATGGTAGCATACACCTGTAATGCAAGCATTGAAAAGGTAGGTGACAGGTCAGAAATTCAAGGTTACCCTCAGGAACATAATGAATCCAAGGCTAGCCTGGAAGACATATGCTGATTTGAATCTTGTCAGTTGACTCTGTCCATATGCTCTATCTGGATAAAGAAAACATTTCCCATTTGAAAAACAAACTTGTGTACTATTGGAAAGGCAAGCAACCATGATTTAGTCACTCAGTTATTAAGGTTTAATATTGATTCCTTTGCATGAGTCTTGGGTTTTAGAGTTGTTTATATTTGTCATTTGATTTTATTTGAGGCATGGATATTAGCATAGGCTAATGTTACATTTCAGGTTTTCACTTTCTCTTATTGAAGCTACTGTCACTGTCACTTGGCAACCTAAGGTCCTTCTCCATGTCCTACTAGATGAGCCAAACTCTACTGTCTCTTGATCACGTTTATTCCATGAGGTTGTTTATTCTATGATATCCTCCATGGTCAACATGGTTTTTCTTTTAAGAAGAATATGACATTTTATCACAGATCACTTGATACTACATTTATAAAGTTTACATTCTTATGAAGGTTTTACTTGAAAAGATTCATTGGGAAAAAATGAGAAAATTTAGCAGCCCCAATATGAGGTTTTCTACTGACTAATAATAGAATAGATGATGAAGAGCTTTGCCCATAAATCTTTTTTCTGCTTCTGGACTGCTACAGATGGATTTCTATTTATAGTGCTTCAGTGGGAGGGGTTGATTGTAGCTAAGAATGCAGAGACATACTGTCCAATTGTTCTCCTAAGAGGCCACCACTTTGTAGATCCTCAACACCCTCAACTGCAGTGAATATAGTTTCTTACCTTAGAGGAAAGCAAACATCGGTACTTTACTGTTCTTTTCCTTTATTCCTTTATTAGTAATGTGGAGAATTTTAAAACATGTCTTCTATCATCAGTGACAAATTATATATTTCTCACCATGTGAAATATCTGCTCATATTTGTACTCCTTGTTTTACCCGGTGGTAGCATGTTGGAGGAAACCATGTGGATTCTTCATTAGCCATTGCTTCTTATCACGGCAAGCTTACTTTCCAGCTTGTTTTCCATCTTACTGCCAGTTCGGGGGCGTCAGTTGGTGTCACCAATACCTTTTGCACATTTTTCTATTCTTGTGTTCATAAAATGCTTCTTAATAAGAGATAAAAATGAGAATTTAAATATTTTGCCTGCACAACAGTCATATATGTTTTGGGTAGCATGTTAGTAGACCTTCCTTTAATTTCATAACAACCTAGACTTTTATAATTTGATGTAAAAAAATCTAAAAATATTTTGTAAAATCATGACCTAGATTTTCCTACATAATCTATTCATGTATTCTTTGAATACAGGGATTTAAGTATTCTCAAATAAATCTTAAGCTTATTTGTGTGTGTGTGTTTCTGTGTGTGTGAATGTTTGTGTGTGTGTGTGTTTGTTGTGTATGTGTGTGTTTGTTTATGTGTGTGAGTGTGTTTGTGTATGTGTGAGTGTGTTTGTTTATGTGTGTGAGTGTGTTTGTGTATGTGTGTGTAAGTGTGTTTGTATATGTGTGTATGTACATGCACATTTGCGCATGTATAGTTCCTGAGAATATTCTTGCAACTTTTTAAAATTATATTTGTTGTGCCTTAAAAATGAGTTGCATATGGAGAGCTTACATTTTCCAAGCTAAAAGTTTATTTTGTTCATTTCAAAGATAAATCAAGAAAAAAATAAAAAAACAAAAAGCCAAACCAGGCATTATAAGGAGAGAGCAAGCACCTAAGCCCACTTCTCACAAGAAACTAAATGACAATTGGCAGGAAAATGTCTGCGTCTACATTGAGTCTAGGAAAAAAAGAGCTTGGAGTAAAATTTCCTTTGCATGCATTGCTGAGAAGAAACAGGCATTTCTTTGCTCTCAGCCTGTGCCAAGCAAGCTGCCTCCTACAGCTTTTTCTTGAAGTGCCCCCTAAACAGTTTGAGTTTATTTTTGTAATTAGTTCTGAACTGTAAATATTATTATTGTTATTATTGCTTCTGAAAATATTTCTTTCTGCAGTAACTTTTCCAAACAGTATTTAATCATATAGTTGTTGGATACTCAGTTCCTATGGAAAAAATTCTCATTTAACCATGACTCAGTTATTTTATCTTTTTTTTTTTTGTTACAACTAAAGACACTGTAAGCTTACTTACCTAAACACAAGGATTAAGTATTTAAAGCCTTTTAATGAGTCTATCCTTTCCTCTTTAAATAGGTCACTTTTATTTTTTGGAAGGGCAAAACGATGCTCTGCTGTGTGGGAACAGCTCTGATGCAGGGTAAGTTATGCATCTTATTGACACTCGGTCGACCTCAATAATCTGCCACCTCCTACACACCTGACCCCTACTCACTCCTCATGCAAAGCCCTACATAAATTCTCCTTCATGCTGACTCACAGAATAGCCAAGGCAAGTGTGGATTCTCACCTCCTTCACACACTCAGAAGTAGCAATTATTTCTCCATACTAGGTCACATCTAATTTTCCAAATTAGCACAATGGAAAATAAATAGTCAAAGCAAATGCATTAGAATTCATACTAGTGTGTTATCATTTATATAAGTTAATCTTATCTCTGTGGCTTAATACATGACATTCCTGAAGATCATGTCACTATCTGAGACACATGGTGACTGTATTCCTACTGTATTTCAGTAAAGCAAAACACATAAAATAGACTGGATTCAAATTCTGACTCTATCATATTTTGTTATTTCTGCTTGTCTTGTAATTTTCCCCCATGTATAAGTAGGCACTGTAATAATTTCATGAATTAAATGTAATAATGAATGCATGGCTACAATATAGAATTTTTACTTATGCTTAACATCATGAAAATGCTTGTAATTACAAAGCATTATTCATGAAAAAAAACCTTGGAAAGTTGAAATAGTTACCTTTCCCTACTTATAGACTTATGTTACAAATCATAGGCAAAAATACCATGCATTTTCTTTGATAATGTTGTAGACATTTACAAATGATACATTTACCAAAGTTCTAATTGACAACATGGTTTACATTTGCTTCCTATAATCAAAAATTTGCAGACTTTATCTGCAATTAGATCTGTGATAGGTAAGGCAAACATTTTAACTCCCCAAATACATGGTACTAAATGTTTTCCACACAGTACCTTATTGAATATTTGTATGGTTTGGTTTTTTTTGAGACAGATTCTTTTATTAGTCTATGCTGACCTGTGAGTTCCCTGAAGGCTAGCAAGGTAGGGAAATTAACCCAAGTTTGCTCAGCCCAGAAATGTCAGTCACAATACTGAAGGCAGCTTTGCTTAGTCAGTAAGCTGACTGTAAGAGGTCCCCACTGCACAGTGTCATTGTGTCCCTTCAGTATGCCCATGCAATTGCATCTCCTCTCTGCTCTAGTACAGACACACACACACACACACACACACACACACACACAAACACCCCACTTGTATCTCAAAACATCTTCAGTGAAAATCAGCTATATCTCTATGGATTTATTTACCTGATCATGTCCATCATCCCAAAATAAGTTGTTAAAGATATGGTTATCTTATACAGATGTGTGGTAAATACAATAGTACAGTTAGGAATTAGAGGACTCCACAAAATAGACCTGGTAAATTCTGTTACTACACAGGGAAGTACATCTAGTGCAGGGTACATACCAGGTAAGGCCAAAGATGCAGAGTTTCCCTGGAGCTTGTCCAAAGTAATTCACATCAAGTAAAATGGAAAAAAACACCAAAAGATTCACAGATACTGAGTTCCTCTTTCCTCTCTAATGTAATTTCAGCCAGTGTCCTGAAGGGTACATCTGTGTGAAGGCTGGAAGAAACCCTAACTACGGCTACACGAGCTTTGACACATTTAGCTGGGCCTTCTTGTCATTGTTCCGTCTCATGACCCAAGACTTCTGGGAAAACCTCTATCAGCTGGTGAGAACCGATGTAATGACTCTTATAGGAAGCAAGGGATGCTGTGGCCCAAGGAACCTTTCATTACTCAGAGAGGGAGCTTGTAACAGTCGATGTGACATTTATGAACATCTTCCCTCCCTTTTTACAGACCCTACGCGCTGCTGGGAAAACATACATGATATTCTTTGTGCTCGTGATTTTCTTGGGCTCATTCTACCTAATAAACTTGATCCTGGCTGTGGTGGCCATGGCCTATGAAGAACAGAATCAGGCCACCTTGGAGGAGGCTGAACAGAAAGAGGCGGAGTTTCAGCAGATGTTGGAGCAGTTGAAGAAGCAGCAGGAGGAGGCTCAGGTAGAGTTGACCTGCTTAGAGACTGTCGTGCTTAATCTCCATTCACTCACCTACAGGTTGCTGTTGACCTTGGAGAGAGAAAGGGCTCTGTGTGGTGTCAGGGGCCTGTTTGGTTGTGAGAAGAGTGTTACTTGATTTGGTGACTATGACATACACCAAGGGCATCAAAATGCAGACAGTTACCATTGTTTCATTGACATTTTTCTCCTTGTGACATCTTGAGGAAACTGCCCATCAGCACTCTCATTCACTGAATCTTAAAAGTAGCAGATCAATGTGCTATCAGGGGAGCCTTTCCTTATTACTCCAGCAAGCAGGAGTTAAATTAGAGGGGCTTCTTCAATACAGCATCACTAGAGGTGAGAAATGTCAGAGAATGCAAGTCACACTGCAATGATTTCTGGAAACACAGAGCCCTGTCTAATATGAAATGATGATAACACCAACATTCTCAGCTTCCTATACTGAAAACTCTTAAAGTAGATGCTATGTGTCTTCAAAATAAGGTCAGTACTTTTTCTAAACATATTTGCTAGACTTAATGGCATTCATTCATCCTGTTACCTGATTTTTGTCTCTTATTGCCTGCTTAATGTAGGTTCCTTATGTCACTATCATTTGATGTATAATAAAAACCAAAAATAAAGTAGACAGATAGTAGCAACTACACTGAACATTATCTTTTTTTCCAATATTTTTAATCTAAATTAGAAACATACTTGCTTCACATGTCAATCCCAGCTCCCTCTTCCACCCCTCCTCCCCTGCCCCTTCACCAGCCCTCCCAGACCCCACCCAATCCACACACCATTCCCCAGGATGGGTGAGGCCCTCCACCGGGATCTCCAGTCTGTCATTTCATTCAGGGCAGGACGTAGGCCCTCCCCCATGTGTCCAGGCTGAGAGAGCATCCCTCCATGTGCAATGGGCTCCCAAAGTTCATTCATACACCATGGTAAACACTGATCTACTACCCAAGGCTTCAGAGATTGCTGAGGCCTCCTCACTGACACTACATTCAGGGGGTCTGGATCAGTTTCTCAACCATCAGTCTGAGGTCCAAGAGCTCCCCCCTGTCAGGTCAGCTGTCACTGTTGGTTTCACCAGCATGGTCTTGACCCCTTTGCTCATCACTCCTCCCTCTCTGTCACTGGGTTCCAGGAGTTCAGTTCAGTATTTAGCTGTGGGTATCTACCTCTGCTTCCATCAGTCATTGGATGAAGGTTCTAGGATGGCATATAAGGTGATCCTCAATATCATCATCAGAGAGGGGCTATTAAGGTAGTCTCTCCATTATTGCTTATTTTGTCTGTTGGTGTCATCCTTGTAGACCTATGGAAATCTCACTAGTGCCAGATCTCTCCTCAAACCTATAATGACACCCTCTATCATGGTATCTCATCCTGCTCTCCTCTATTCTTAGCCCGACTCAACCTTCCTGCTCCCCCATTTCCTCCTCTCCCCTCCTCTTCTCCCCCTCTCTTTTTCCTGGTTGTCTCTCCCCTCCCACATGTTCCCAATCTGCCCAGGAGATCTTGCCTTATTCCACTTCTCTGGTGTATCATGCATTTGTCTCTTGGGAACCTCCCTGTTTCCCAGACTCACTGACAATGGGGTTGTAGGCTGAGACTCTCCTGTTCCATGTCTAAAATCCATATATGAGTGAGTACATACCATGTTTGTCTTTTTGTGACTGGGTTACCTCACTCAGGATGGGTTCTTCTAGTTCCATCCATTTGCCTACAAATTTCAATATTCCATTGTTTTTTCCAATGAGTAGTACTCCATCGTGTAAATGTACCACATTTTCTCTATCCACCCTTCAATTATGGGGTATCTAGGTTACTTCCAGAATCTGGCTATTACAAATAATACTGCTGTGAACACACTGGAACAGACATCCTTATTGTATGAATATGCATCTTTTGGGTATATGCCTAAGAGTGGAATTGCTGGGTCTTGTGGTAGACTGAGTCCCATTTTCCTGGGGAATCTCCATACTGATTTCCAAAGTGGCTGTACAAGTTGCACTCCCACCAGCAGTGGAGGAGTGTTCCCCTTTCTCCACATCCTCTCCAGCATAAGCTGTCATTGGTGCTTTTTATTTTAGCCATTCTGACAGGAGTAAGATGGTATCTCAGAATAAACATTATGTTTTTAAGCCATATGCTTTTATCATTTACAAAACCATATCGACATCCTGGGATTCCCTTTTATACAATCTGTGACATGCTTCCACATTTCCTAATTAAAAAATAAAGTAAAAGATTAAAGGTTTAATAAATAAATATTTGACTTAGACTGTGTTTAATTCCACAGCTCAGTTTGTTAGTCATTATTGAATGTGATGAAACGCAAATACCTTTGAGGTGTAAATAGGAAAATTTAATTCCTAAATTCCTCTTTAAACGTTTAGATTGCATGGAAATGTTATTAGATGTTATTATGTTTGTTACGTTCATGTTGGTACATAATTAGAATGCCACATGAGATCAGAGTTAAAAGATTTTATCATTCAAATGTGTCTACTTCCGTGTTGATTTTTTATTCTTTAGTTTGTGAAAATGTTGTTTTCCAAAGTATAGAACAGAATCAGAGAGCTGGATTTTAAGGTCACATTCACGGTATACTAGATACAAGAAGCAGTGAATCTAACGTTGAGGACTGTGTGCCACCTTCGTTCGCTTGTCCCCTTCTAGGCAGCAGCCGCAGCCGCCTCTGCAGAATCCAGAGACTTCAGCGGAGCAGGTGGGATAGGCGTGTTCTCGGAGAGTTCTTCAGTAGCATCAAAGTTGAGTTCCAAGAGTGAAAAGGAGCTGAAGAACAGAAGAAAGAAAAAGAAACAGAAAGAGCAGGCTGGAGAGGAAGAAAAGGAAGACGCGGTGCGGAAATCAGCATCTGAGGACAGCATAAGGAAGAAAGGCTTCCGGTTTTCACTAGAAGGAAGTAGGCTGACCTATGAGAAGAGGTTTTCCTCTCCACACCAGGTACAAAACAGAGGAGGGGAAAGGAAGGGAGGAAAGAAGGAAGGAAGGAAGGAAGGAAGGAAGGAAGGAAGGAAGGAGGGAGGGAGGAGGGAGGGAGGGAGGAGGGAGGGAGGGAGGGAGGGAGGGAGGGAGGGAGGGAGGGAGGAGGGAGGAAGGAAGGAAAGAAGGAAGGAAGGAAGGAAATGGATTACATTTTCATAACAGCATAACAGGGTTTCTTTTAAAGTCTATGCCAGCGTTTGCTGGGGCTGAAGGGGCCTTCTCCTTAAACTTGGCTATGCTTTCACCATGGTAATGAGCATCAAGTATCGGGTTGCCATCTCAGAGATCCAGCGAGTTTTATAACTTTTTTGGAAGCACGGGAAGGCATGTTCATACAGTACTGAACTTGGGAAGGTTTGAGGTTTTGTTAAAGACTTGTGAGTCTCTGGGCAGTGTTCCACATGGGGAATGATCACAGATGGTCCCCATCCCTTCTTAGCTACTGTGCCTGGACCCAGGGAGCTGTAGGTTTTCTGAGAGGCTGGTGCCCAGAAGTGGACCAGGGATGCTTCTCTGCCATCTGTGCAGTGTTTCCGTCCATGTGAATGCTCTCATGAAGAGTGAATTAGTTATTGTTTCAAAGCGGGATGAAGCAAAATCTTTTCTAAACTGTAGCCAAAAATCTCAGGTACCTGACAGGCGCTGAGAAAGATGCATGCCACTAACTAGCACTGATGTTTGATTGTATTTGGTTTTCTGTGCCTCATGTTAAAGTAAGACACAAATTCAGAGAATGCACTGATTTACATATTGCAAGAAAATGTTTTCTGCATGCCTTTGGCTTATGTACCCAACGAAGCTGTTGAAATTTCACTATTTGCGTCCTTGGGTTTTTTTTTTAAGTACCAAGAGAATCCCCAGAAATACATGGTTGCTTGGAGGACAATTTCACTATGAGGGAAACTACAGTATTCATGTAGTACCAATAACAAGGACAACATTGTATTGGTACCTGCAGCAGGAATTCTTAAGCACCTCATTACAAACCTAGGTAGCTACTAATTTAGTCATTATGGCAAACATTCAGAAAGGAAGAGGAGAGATTGTGTGTGTTGATGAATGCCTACTTTATGCACATGTTATTTACTTAATTTGAAATTTATTTTTCTTAGCTCCCATTAATTGTACAAATATAAAGTGTTTCATTACGGCAGTTTTCACATATGCATACAGCAGACCTTGACCATATTCATCCTCCTATTCCATTTATTCTCTCTGCTTTTTGAGTCTCCCCCTTCAATCTCTGGTCTCTCTCCCTTTCCAAATCAAACACGTCCTATTCTACTTTCATTTCATACATATTTCATATATATATATATGTGAGAGAGAGAGAGAGAGAGAGAGACTGGCTCATTTCTGCTAAGATGATTTTGTTATTTGTGACTAACTAGTATATTCCGTTGTGTAGTGCCCCATTTTCTTTATCTGTTAGTGATGAACACCTAGCTGATTTCATAGCTTTAGAATTATACTTATATGAATACACAGGTATCAGTAT